AAAAACTGAACTTTGTGTCTCTGTACTTTACGTGCTGTAACTCTTGTTAAGATGTGTTTGAATCAATGATTTGTGTTTTTTAGGAGCTGGACAGTTGGGAAATAACACAACAGAAGTCTTGGATCAATGTCCACTGAAGTCTGTGGAGAGCTTTATGCCAATTTCAGTTGGCCTTTTGTCAACTCTTTTAAAGCTTTGCATGAATATTTGGAACTATTTTAATGGGTGTGAAACGACATTTAACTCTTCCTTTTGAGAGATTTTTCATCTTGAGTGCATCTAATGGTATAGACTTCATTGATTTCTTTGGCCATTTTTTTAGCTGCTCTCAGTTAAGACACAGTGGTTTTATAACACCTAATTTTATGTATATGCTCATAATACTCAATAAAGCATTCTGGAAATAAGTAGTATTCCTTAGACAATACATGTAAACTTTTTAGCACTTTATTTAGTTGAGAAATTCCTGTCTTTGTACAAACTGTAATTTAACTTTGCTGATGCAAAGTATTAAGTAGTTACATTTAGCAGAGACATTGCAGTTCATTTATTCATATGTTTTAATTCTCAGTTTCATTTCATTATGCTTCTCTACCTCATTATTTGCATCTGGTTTATGAAACTCCTATAACTTCAATATGCATATGGCCTAGCTGTTGCCTTTAAATTAATTAGCATGTAATGAAAATGCCTTATATGCAAACAGAGAACCCAGAGCCATGAGGCTTCTCTAGCTTAGAGCAAGGGTTTGTCTACTAACTCAGAACTTATCTTTGTTAAATTATAGGCAAGAAATATAAGTTCTGAAAATCCTTCACTCACTGTCACTGCTGTGTTTTTTATGGAGGGTCTGTTTTTTGGAGATGCTGAAACCTCACAATGAATTAGGTTTACAGGCTGGTAAGCTGCCAAAGGCTTTGCTCAGAGTCTAAGAACACAGAGGGAGACAAGTGGGAGCAGCCTTTGTGCTCTTCCAGTAAGAAGCCGATGAGACCAGTTAGAAACAGATACGTTAGCATGTGGCTCTCAAAACCATTCCATGTGGGTCTAAAATCAGTGGAAGATTTACCTGGTTTTGTACAGCTAAGATGAACTTTCAGTAGTTTAAAAATTCTTCTTATTGTTCAGTTTATAATCTAACTTCAATTACAAAAAAATCTTGAAGCAGATGTTTTATTATCATTTCACTTGTCCAAATTTCATTTTGAGATTCTTCCTCCTTCTGAAACGCATCAAGAAAACAGAACGAGGGCCTTACCTTGGTGATAACAGCCTGATACTGAGGAATTTCACAAAGACGTATTGGATCTGAAAATTCCTTTAGCCCAGAGCTAAGCAAACATTTCATAACAAATAACAAGAGGGAGGAATGCTGCCTTCTCATCTCAACTTTTCTGCAAGCAAACTGCAAGTTCCTCTAATTTATTTATTCCGAATTATTTGCTAAGCACACAGGTCAACGTATGTCTTTCCATTTACTTTCCAATGGCATGGAATATCCCTTACAGAAGGATAGCAAATATGTGTTGTGAGGAAAGAACAAGAGAACAGCAAATTCCAACCGAGCAATCTCTTGGGTTTTCCTTCCCACCATATTCTCACAATTACTGTTATTATTAGTGAGAGCCGCAGTGGGAGAGAGAGGGAATAGACAGGAGTCCCTGGTCTTTTTCATGCTGTGTTGTCTAGACTTAGTAAGAATGTTAGATTTTGTCATCCTGCTTCTTCTCATGGTGTTATGATTGCAGAGGATCTGAAATAAAAACGGAGTTTTGACCTATCCAACTCTGTTCTTGTTGGGTCCCATACCCATCAAAGTTAATGGGAAAACATGAGCTCTGATTCAAGGAAAATCACATGTAATCTTAAAGCTGTGCTGGCAATAGGAAACCTAGTGCATAAGTTTTCGTGAGTTTTGACAGTATTTGTTCACCTACTGAAGTACTTGAGCTGAATAAACCTATTGCATCTAACTTGCAATTAGAGAGATGTTTCATGTAGCTGTAGAAAAAATTCCCAGAAACACTTTTTTTTTTAACACTTACACCGTCCAGGAAGACTGGAATTTCTTGGCAGTGTAAAGTCAGAAAAGATGATTCTGTGCTAGTATCCTGCGTCTACGCTCTGGCATTTCTCAGCTGGCATGTTTTCCAGCCAACATGACCATAGTTACAGGCCACTTCGCTTTATCTAAGGCTAAAATTCAAGAACCTACTAGAAAAGCATCTGGCAGTTATTGCCCAATTGCCCCCTTTGCAGCGACCCAGAGGACTCCATCTTTGTCAGAAGCCAGGTCAGCATTCTCAGCATTACTTTGGAATTCAGATTATTTTAATATGAATCCTTGAAACCATCCCATGTCTGGGAGAAATGGAAAATGGTCTGTGATTGAATGAGTGTCCAGACTGCTCTGTGGCGCTTCCCCTTTCTTCTTGACAACTTCATAAAACTAGATGTTATCAAAAAGAAGGGATCTTTCATTCACACAACATTTTTCATTTTGGAGGATGTGTCTGTTGTAAAATCCAAAGAAAAGAAGTCTTACTGGAGATTTAAGGTCATTTCTGCTGGAAAAATGTGAGTCCATTTGTAAGGCACTCAGTCAGCTATAGCCTATGTAAAGGTGCAGCAATATACATGCAGTGCAGGACCCAGAATCCAGTTCACTTTTCCCTTTTTTTTTTTTTTTCCCCCTTCCAGAATTCTCAATCCACTCTTATAACGTTAAATATAGAAATTACATTTGGGGCTGAAACTTGGTGTACATCAGGGACAATTTCTTACAGGAAAATCCAGAAAACCCTTTGTTCCATATGGTATGAATCATTTACAAAATGAATCCTAGAGGAATAATTTCAGATGTGGAAACCTTTAAAATGGGGAAATAAAAACCAGATTCACTACATTTCTGTTTTCCAGCTGAACAAAAAAAAAATCATTTAGCAGTGCCCAATTATTAGTGCACTCTAGTAGATAAAGATTGCCTCTCAGAACCACTTTTAAATTGTGTGATGACACACATCATAAGGATTAAAATATTAGTCTTCTTCCCTACAGAAAAGTACTTTGTCATGACCAAATGTGATCTGACATTTGAAATATGCCAACTTATTGCAGTGAGCAGGCAAGTTAAATTCTTGTCAATTATTTAAAGCTTCTCTCTTATTGACAGAGGCAATTTTAACCTTCATTTAGAATGTTAAGTAGATATAGGCTGAGATAGGTAATTATGAAGTCATGTTGAAGAAAAGAGAGGGGGTAAATTGTTCATCAGAATATTATCTATGTTTGTTTTCACATTATTTTTCAGAAGGGAATTAGATCCTCCAAGTTCATAATATAGACTCTCTTCCGTTGTCAAAGATTAAGATCACAGTATGATTTTATGAGCGCTATTATTAGGGTCAAAAATGTTTATACTGGGGAGTACTGCGAAGCTACCTTCGATTTGGGAAGAGAAGTGAATTTCCATGAAAAGGGCGTAGTGTATTACTAGAGACTGCGGAGGACCTCTATATCTCTGATAAATCTTTTCAGCTGGAATAGACTTAAAGTCAATTTTAGCATTAGCTTAGTAAACAGTTAAAGCTGTGAAGATTTCATATGTATCTTTCTATTTTCACTTTCTTTTCATTTTCTGTTGAGTTTTCCTCATGGGAAACAGTCCTTAAAGTGCAGAAAATTCCACAAATCCTTAAGAAATACAATGCTTACATTAGGGATTCAAACTGCTTTCCTTCTGATACCCTTGGCGTTCTGGTCCTAGGAGGTTAGGCTAAAGAAAAGCATCCATTTCAGAAGGGGATAGGTGATACATGTCTAATATGTGCATTTTCAAAGAATACTTTTTGAGGAAGGAGGTGGAATCATGATCTGGGAGGACTTAAGATGTCAGGCAAGATGGTTTGCAATTGACATTTGTTTGTCTGCACATATTTTTCTGAAGCACAAGAGATATGTAGTCCTTGTGGGATGTCAGTTTTGGCAGGAGGGTGTTGGCACATGGTGAAGCCTCACTGATCCAAAACAAAAATCTGTATCTAATATTACGTATATAATGTAATAGAATTACCTGATGAAACTTATTCTTGGTTTTTGACTTGGTAAAAAGGAGTGTTTATTACAACATGCTTTACAAAACCAAGAAATGAAATAAAATCATAACTGATTAATGAGCTGCATGGAAATACTTCCTCAGTGCCACCCACATTTCCCTGGCCCTGATCCTGGAAACACTTCATCACATGTGTAGTTTTATGCACAGATACTATGTGAAAACTGCAGTGTAGTTTTCCCATACTTACTTCTGTCTTTCAGGGATCCAAGAAGGAAAACAATCAGATACTTGCTTGCACTGATCAGTTTTCTTTTGTAGGAGCGCATAAATTTTAAACTGCGTTTATGATGATTAAATTGCGGGGAGTTGATTACTGAATGATAGTACTAAAATGTTCAGATGCTTCCACTTTGTGCTGCTATACTGTACTGTGCTTATGTTTCTACTCAGTGTAACTTTAAGTCTGGGATTCCTGTCTGGTAATATCTTCTTCCAAAAAAAGCCTGAATCTTAATTAATTTTTTTTTTTTTACTAATGTATGTATTTATTAGAAGTTGCATTTTCGAAAAACATTTTCTTTTTTTATGTGAGACTATATATCCTGTACACAAACACACATACAAACGAATCTATACTGTGAAGAATGGATTAATATTTCATGTGAAATGATTCATGGTACTGTGTGAAGCTGCTATGCTGACAGTCCCACAACATTCTTGTTTCGTCTGTGACCAAATGTGAAACCTGGTCACCTCCAGAGTGAAACAATGCATACTTTAATTGAGAAGACTATCTAGATTATATCTTGAGTAAATCTAATTTAGAGGAGTACCTTTCAATCTGTCTAGGCTCTGAAGGGAGATCACTTTAAGAGCTAGCATGTTCCCGCTGTGAACCTTGACAATATTTTCTCTAATTTGTGATGCCTGTTTCTTTTTTTAGTCAGGTTTGATAAGGACACAGAAGATCGAGTTCCTTATATCTCCATTACCTCAGCAGCTAGCACAGGAGCACAACTACACATCACCTGCTGGACACCATCCTCATGTGTTATATAAACGAACTGCAGAAGAGAAGGTGCACCGGTACACAGTAGAGTCCAATCCCAAATACTTTTCTTTTGGTCATCACAGAATTCACACTTCCCACAAGTATCATGCTCAAGCGAATGGTTACCACCGTGGAAGGTTTCAAAAGCAACATTTTTGTGGACGTCGCAAGAAATGTATGTAAGGAAACTTTCTCTCCTTGTTTGAGGTAGTGGCTCTTAGGGACTGTACGGTGATTCTGAGGTGGGGTGCACAGACACCTTTGTGATGGAGACATAATAATTTTAAATTATACATTTTGAAAGTGAAATAGATATGAGAAACTTGATTATTCCTTTAAATTGATGTCATCATCTGTTTTACTAAGCCATCAGAATCACTGTTAGTTTCTTTATTCTCTACATAGATTAAAAGATCCCTTGCCCAATTTTCTTGACATTGACATCGTTTTCAATAAGCAATTCTGCAGTGATGGCTGCCAAGTCCCTGAATTGCTCTCTGTTACTTTGGGAATATATAATTAATTAGGTTTGAAGATGGAGAAAAAGTCTTCCAAATCGTTAATTTCTGAGAGGATAGAGAATTAGTCTTTCAGAACTCACCATTTGCTAATGAAATTTTCAGCAACTGAGATCTTCAAAAAGAATCTTCCATGTAAATTGTTTAAATAAGATTTTGGAGCCACCTCTTAAAAAACATATTGGAATATATCATCCTGCCAAGGTCTATTCTGAGTTCTTCATTAGGTCCTCGAATTGCAGAACATTTTAGAGCCCCCTTGGACCCTATATCTGTGCTTACAGCATTCAGTTGATTCTTTTTGAAAGCTGATCTGCTTCTGAGCTGAGTTTCTTAATGAGGGTCTCCAGGACTGCACACAGCATTGAAAACATTGTCTCAGTCCAGTTATATTCTTCCAACTTCCTGCTTGAGTTCTGAGAAAATGAGCAGGTTCCTTTTCCAAAAGGCATGTAAGGAGGAAAGAGAAAAGACATGTAAGGAAGAAAAAAAGGGAAGGAATGAGAAAGGAGGTATTGGAAAAGGTGGCTAGCTGAGACTGGGGCCTGGCTGAGGCCTGATAACTGCTTAATAAAAATTGACTGCTTCTTCAAAGATCCTTCTCCCTAGATTTGAAAGCTAGACCTCAAACGCCAGATGCACAAGCCTCTGATTCAACCTATAAACATTTGCACACTGATGCCGTTCAAAACCACCTCATTACATACTCCTTTTCCCTCCTGTCTGGTCATCCTGCTGCCTGCTTCAGAGCAGAGGGTAATGATGATAAGTTAGCTCATCTACTCTACAGTGTTTTATTTTATCTACATTGTCCACTGTGGTCTTGTGCCTTATTTACTGTACTCTCTGTGACTGCTTGCTCAAATTTAGAACTATTCATGTCCTCTTGAGTCACTAACACGGTGCTTATCCCTATAATAAATGAGTGCATTTTGAACACTGTGTTTTCATATCCTTCTGGGATGTGAGAAGATATTATCATTATTCCTGTCTTATAAATGGGACTCACAGACACAGGAGAGGTCAAAAATAACCATTGCTTCTGGGTACCAAATCGATAAACTGAGTTTTTCTTTAAAAATACTTACCAGAATATGTCCTGTAATTGTATATGTGTATCTCTATATTCAATAATTTCTGTTACAACTATGAGATCTTAGCTGCATATTCAAGCTGGGTTTACGTGAAATGAAGAACATGCAATTAGCACCCAACTCTGATGAGTTTAGTATAAGTGATTTACCCATCATTGCTTAGGAAATCAGTGTCAGACACACTGTTAGGATCTGGTTAAGCAAGATAGCATTTAATTACCTTAACCATAAAACTCTTTCTTTTCACATCCTGCAGTCTTTCACTTCATGCAGTACATACCTGTAACCTTCTGAGAGAAAGAAAGGAGGAGTTCTAAAAAATAACAACCTATTTCCATACCCAGTGTTGGTTAATCTACAAAACATGATGATCTCATGTTCACTGAATTAATGCAGTCCTGCAAATAAAATCACATGTGATTGTTTAATTGAGTAGGGGCAAATATAGGATGTAGAAGAAAAGATATCAGTCCAGTAAAGGCAACACCCCTTCTATGAGTATTTGGGACTTTTTTCTTCTTCTTCCTTTTTATTTTCTTTTTTTCTTTTTAGTTCTTACATTGTTTTCCTGTCTTGTTCTGAGATTTGGAGTCATATCCGTTTGAAATTTTCAGAAATATCCAATCTGGCCACTGAAATAGAAAATTTCAGCTTGAACGAACAAAGGCATTGAGAATGCAGTCTTACAGAAGGCACTCTTCTGCTATTAACACTGCCTAGTCAAGGTTAATTTGTCCTAATCTAAGAATGAATCCAAACTTGCTGAACATTAAGAGGGAAGAGCACACTGCCACTTTTAGTGTCATGAAAGTCACTTGTCCCACCCACCATCTTTTAAAATTTCATATGCTGGCAGTTGGTAAGCACTAGAGAAGCCAGTTAATCATCTTTCAAACTCTTCTTCACAATCTAAATGATTTTAGATCATGAGAATTAACCAGACTGTAGTTAGTAAATCATGCTTGAAACACTGCTGCTGCTTAGGTTTTATTAGTAGCAGTGAAGCTAATTTAGGACCAAAAGTCCACTGCTCATGGGTTTATGAGTCAAATGCCTTGAAGTTGTATTGCCTTCAAAATAATACATGAAAACTGGTATGCCTTGAACTGAACACTTCACTCTTGGGTGAGGCTTGTCTTCATGTCTTGACGTGGTTCCAGAAGAGAAAAGTTCTTTGAGATTCTAAAGGGCAATTGTTTATGAGCGATACATTTTAAAATCTTACTAACACAGTCACTTGCAATGTTAAATGTAGTCCAGAGTGACTTAGTTCTTGAAAGCAGACCACTCTTGTGCATTCTATTGTACTCTTGATTTCCCAGTTTGGCATGGAAGGAAGTAGCGCCTGTTTTAGCTCTGTCATTGGAATAACTTTCTGATGAAGCACAGGCAGGATTTTTTTAATTACCTGAGACTCCCTCATTTGTGTCATGCTACATTCTGTGTCAAACAAAATCCCATTGTTATACAAATAGTATGTTAAAGTGGCCTTTGATTTAATTCTTGATGCAAAGACAGCGCAGGTTTATGCAAAAGAAGCTATGAATAACAGGAGCGTTATAGGATATAGGACATAGATTTCTTTTCCCTTTTCCTGGCTCCTTGAAGAAATGGAGTAGAGACCATTCTCTAACCGTGCCATTGACCGTGCTACACAAGCACAGAGGAAAAAGTGCACCCTGGCATTGGGGTGTGTGGGCTGGATGTGCGTATCCTGTTGTCAAGCCCTCCTTGCTATTGCCTGACTTTTCCCTATATTAAATAAATATGTTCCCAGCAGGAACAATCTCAGTGGCAAATTCGCCTAGAAGTCTAATGTCAATCACAATAGCAGGCTGGCAGGAATCTTACTTGCAGTGTGTGTCTGCTTTCTGTGCTGACGGTGGACATCTGTTGTGGAAAGGACTTTTTTACCAACTGCTATGTAAGTAGCACATGCCAAACACCTCAGGAAGTTATCAAAAGGACAGGAAAAATGTAGATACTGTGTTAAAAATTCTGTGTGTAATTTTTGCCACAGATGCTACCATTTTATTAGATTAATCCCTTATTTTAAACTGCTTATTGCATACGAATGTGGTTCTCCCATTTCCTTCTCTCCCTGTAGCCATCCTTCCCTCAGGAATGAATCAGGTCTTTTTTAATAAATATACAAGAACTTAGCCATAAGTATTAAATCACACGCTGTAAAAATAATCTAAGGCTTTAAACCTGTGATGCTTCATTTTCTGATGAAACTGTTCATGGGTGATCTGAACCCTTTCCAAAACTGAGTTTTATTTCCTTTTAGATGCACCTAAGCCACCCACAGAAGAGACATACATTCGCTCAGATGAATATGGGACTTCTGCAAGGTTCAAAAGATCGTCTGCTAAAATTCAAAAAAATGGAAGTCTAAATGTTGAAACCCTTGTTGTGGCAGATAAAAAAATGTTGGAGAAACATGGCAAGGAAAATGTAACAACATACATTTTAACAGTTATGAATATGGTAAGATGTGGTGTAACTGAAGTATTTTTTCTATGTAGAATATTGTTATGTCAGAGTAGAATCTTTCATTAGACAATGATACTAAAAAAAGCAAGGGCACCTCACACAAGACTTTCTTCAAGCCTCATCTAATGTGTTACTTACATCTAAAAGCTCTTTAAAAGTACATCCTTAGATTATCACAGCTCTGGCAGCAGTACTGTAGGGTAAAAAAAAATAATTGGAAAATACTTAAAATTTTAAAATACTTCTTGTGTAGTACAAAAAAGGCAGACACTGAAACTATGATTCTACGAAACTAAAACTTTCATTTCATTTAGTATCATGAAGCTTGCTATATTTTGTCTGATGTCTCTCCTTGAAAAAAATATTTATTTGAGAAAACACAAATTTATTGTGAGAAAAATAATATAATTTAACTAGAAATAAGTTTTCCTTTGTGGCTACAAAATTTGAACTTTGAACTTGATTACACTTGATCCAGGAGACCAAAGACAGAATAAAGCCCACTGAAGCCAATAGAAGGTTTTCAAGTTTTTTGAATAAATCACAGAATCATGGGGTGTTAGGGGTTGGAAGTGACCTCAAAAGATCATCTAGTCCAACCCCCCTGCCAGAGCAGGACCACCTAGAATAGGTCACACAGGAATGCGTTCAGACGGGCTTTGAATGTAGTAGTTTGGGGCATAATTCTTCTGGATTAAGCCCCTTTGGATTAATCCTACAAGGTATATAACTCCATGAATTTGTACTGGACAATTTGAAATTGAAGCCTAATGCAATAACTCAATACATATGTTTAGTCTATCAAAAAAAATGTTGTACATGTAGATGATATTTCCTCCTCAATAATCATTGCAGGTCTCTAGTCTGTTTAAAGATGGAACAATTGGAAGTGATATAAACATTATTATTGTGAGCCTTCTTCTTTTGGAACAAGAGCCTGTAAGTTGTGCTAGAATTTTGTGTGGTATACTTCATTTGCTGCTATTCACAGGGAGAGTTGGGTATTCCCACATTATGTACATAAACTTTCATTAGAGGTTTCATAAGACGTAAAGCATGAGAAAAAGATTAAAATCACAAAATCTCCAAAATGACACTTTCTGCATTTCACAGCTTCTTGGTTTTTGATACTAAAAATCTTCATTTCATGTAAATGTTCTTTAGAAACATTGAAATGCTTCCAGTAAGATAAAACTTAACAATTTCCAGCACTTTCTTGAAGAGAAATGGCTGGAATGAGAAATCTACTTAAGGAGTATTTAAATAAATAAAAAGGCTTTGAACTTGGCTTTCCAAGATCTGATGTTCAGAAGGGGGAAGGAGTCAAAACTCCCAAACTGAATATAGTATGTAACAAAGGTGGGAGTGGAGCCAATTCTTTTGGCAAGGGTGCTGAGACAAAAGAAGACAAAATCTCTTTTGATGAAAAGAAATTTCTGATAGGTTGATCCACTTGGATAAAACTTTTCCTTCACAGAAATCTCCAAACATTTTAATCACAAGATTAAAAATTGTTTAGTGTTCAGCTTTATCAGGAATCAAATATATTTGTACACTGTGATGCCAACCACTGGCTTTGACAATATCTGTGTCTGGGGAGAGGTGCAGTTTTATTTTACAATTGTAATAGATTTATTCATCAACTGAATTTGTCATCAGTTAACACAGTAATGCATGAGTTTATGTAGAACACGTATGAAAAAGTAATTTCCTTTTCCCTAATGATCTCTTATTCTTCCAATCACCTTTCTCAAGTACTGATGGAAGCACATTATTTCTGTGTCTGTGAAATATCTACTACAGGGTGGATTACTGATTAACCACCATGCAGACCAGTCACTGAACAGCTTTTGTCAATGGCAATCTGCTCTGGTTGGGAAGAATGGAAAGCGCCATGACCATGCCATCTTGCTTACGGGTTTTGATATCTGCTCCTGGAAAAATGAGCCCTGTGATACTTTAGGTATGATATGAAAACACATTCTGATAATCTAGTAGGTATCAACAGCAGCATCTTGACTCATGGAAACCAAAATGTTTTAAAATAAAAAAGTCCAGTTTTGCACATAATGTTAGCCTGCCTATAGAGGAAAGAATAGTATTATTTTAACATATTTGTCTTTGATGTACCTAGAAGAAAAGAGAATTAATGGTATCATTGCCCCAGAAAAAGTGGCAAAATAAGCTATCTGAAGACGTCCTTTTGGGTTGTCATCTCTTCAAGGAATATTTTTGATTTTGAGACTATTTCTGACCACTTGGATTTTTTTTATTTTTTTTTTTTTGTGACTACTTGAGATTTTGAATGGGATTCCTCCCTAATTTGGAAGCAGTAAAGGCATGAGGAAGGGAAATAATCTTTACAAGTAAAGTGTACTTTGGGAGGTTAGATTTTATTTATACTTCTTATACAGGACTCGCTTTATTGTCAAATAAAAGTCTGCTGTAACTCCTCCATGATAAACCTGATGAAGTAGACAACCATCTTCATGCATCACAATAGACTGGGTTTTTAGGACCAGTGCAGATGATATATATTTTTGGAATTCTGTAGAGGAACAAGCTGTTCTACTGCTTCCTTCCTTCAGGATTTGCACCTATCAGTGGCATGTGCAGTAAATACCGTAGTTGCACCATTAATGAAGATACGGGCCTTGGACTGGCTTTTACAATTGCTCATGAATCTGGACACAAGTAAGTTTCATGAGTCTTACATTCTCCTTCTATAAATAAATATGTAAGTGAATGGAAACATATCTTATTTTTCAATAATTATCCCCTTTAGTCTCCTAATGTCCTTCCTTCCTATTTATTTTCTTACTTGCTTGGAGAAAGTATGCTTGGAAATCTTTTAATGTTTTGTTCTTTTTCACCACTTCCTTTGATTCTCATATTATTCAGCCTTTCTTTTGTATGCTTCCATATTCCTGTCTAGTAGAATGTGTCTTATCTGCTGAAAAAAAGTCTGTGCCATATAAAAAAAGTCTTTATTATCATTTGTTTGTATTCATATTCCTGAGACTACCAAGTATGTGATGTAAGACAACAGAATTTTGTCTCTGTGATACAGAGATTCCTGGAAGAAAAAAAGACTTGTGACAGCCTTGGAGGTGCTGAGGTCCACTGTGAATATATTAACCTGAGGATTTCATAGTAGGAGAATATTATATACTGTATAGATCACACTTTGTGATCCACTGAGTAGCTTCAGGTCTTAAGCATTTCAATGGTTTTCTTTAAGTAGTTTGTGTTTTTACCTAAAAGCTGAACAGTCCCTTCAGGAATTCAGAGCCCATTGTGTCAGTGGGTATATAAACTGTGGATTCTTCAGCTGCAATGCATGTAAACCAAGTTAGTATTTTATGAAGGATTCTAAAATACTAGCTCAGTTGGGACTTTTTTTGTCCATTTATAGAAGGAGCCATATATCTTAGCAGGTTTGGAGCCTCAGCTGGTGGCAACACATGCATTAACACTGATGAGCCTGCAATGATTTGTAACAGTAAAGGATCAAGTCCATTAAATTAGATATTCCCTGCATGTACACAGATTATATTCATAAAGTCACCAATGTACTATGATGTTGAAGTAACAGATTATGAAATTCCTATTCAAAACACATTGAAATTCACAGATGTCCCATACAGTAAGTAAATGTAAAACAGTAAAGGAAAAAACTTGAAAATTTGCTTTATTATATACATAAGTTCCACGTAATTTATCATTTTTAATGTGACTTTTATTATTGCTTTATATTATCCTAACATGTCTCCTAGTGAAAGCAGGGCCTCGTGACGCTGTAGGCTGAGCAAAGCACCCAGTAAGAGGCGGTATTCCCACTAAAGAGGTCACAATCTGGACAAAGTGACAGTATAACAAAGGCAAGGAAAAGAAAGTGATTTGCCTGGGATAATATAGCAAGTTACTGGCCAAAATTAGAAAAGGAATCATATTTTTGTATTCATGCCTTGCATTCTATTCATTCAATCCCACTTTTTTTGCTACAGATTGAATGCAGCTATATAGTTCTTCCCTCCTGTTAGGAGGACAGTTATGTTATATTCTTACAGCTGTGTAACACTGGTATTTCCCTGGATTCTGATCTCCACACCGTTCCTGGTAACAGACATTGTCACTAAGCAAAGAAAGGCTCCAATTGTATGCATGTTTTCAGCTGATAGATTTATAGGCAAGTACAAGTGTGACTGAACATAAGATCCACTACTGCCATCCATCTCACCACAAAACTTTCCTCCTCCAGGGAAGAGAGATGGTTGCACTGTAAAACTTCTGACAGCCTGCAGCTCTGGTACTTACGTGCCGGCGTCTTGTCATTAGCTCGCATTGCAGAGCTCCTGTGCATCAACAGTGTGGGGCTTTCTTGAAACTTGACTATCTTTTTCTGATCAGACAAGTGTATGATGACAATAAAATTTGAATGTCATTAATTGGAGCTTGTTTCATACTAATGTTATTTGTATGGTGCATATGTTTTCATCCCTTTAGAATGAAAGGGATGAATTCCACATTCCCTGTGGAGTTCAAGCATAGAGCTGTTACCCAGAAAGTGTTTATTCTGCCCCAAATTTTGTCTTGCTTCTGATTATTCTAGATTTTCACTCTTATGAACGGTTCTCTTTTCAGCTTTGGTATGATTCATGATGGAGAAGGAAATCCTTGTAGAAAAGCTGAGGGTAATATTATGTCTCCTACACTCACAGGAAACAATGGAGTGTTTTCTTGGTCTGTATGCAGCAGGCAGTATCTCAACAAATTTCTCAGGTAGGTCAGATGTAAATCTGGGCCGGTGCCAGGAAACGTATCTTTAGTAACTGGGCTTGAATTCCTGAACAGGCATAAAAATTACTTAAGTGTGAAATCCACCTCTTTTGAAATGTGCTCAAACCAATGTACTATTTGAGCCCACACACTTGGACCTATGAAGCGTGTAGGTGGTATGGCGTATAAGCATTTTTGTCCTGCCTTGTTTCAAAAGAATGAATTTCACCCTCCATGAATATGCTGCAGTAAT